CTCTCTCTCTCTCTCTCTCTCTCTCTCTCTCTCTCTCTCTCTCTCTCTCTCTATCTATCTATCTATCTATCTCTGTGTGTGTGTGTGTGTGTGTGCGTGTCACACACACACACACACGAGCGTCAACGACGAGCGGAAACGAAGAGGGGGGGGGGCACTCACCTTGCGATGGTAGACGGCCAGCGAAAACGAAGACGACAGGAGGTTGGCCTTCACGAGCGCGTCAAGAAAAATGGCGGCGGCGCGTCAACAAGAACGCCGTTCGAAATTGAACTCAAATTTCCGGCGCCAAACTGCTGCAGGGGCATCACAGGAAGATGGGTGCTCCTTACGAGGGCATATGGCACATAGCCCAATGAAATGGGACCACCGGTTGAGGGAGGGCGTCATGGAAAGTTGCACCACAACCGACGGGGGCCTGCCAAAAATATTTTCAGGCCCAGGGGCGCCGCAGGGTATTTCGCATGTCGGAGGGGCGCGATGCAAATAAATGGAAAATACAGGGGTGCCAGACAAATTTTCCCAAAAAAAAAAAAAAAAAAAAAAAACCCTGAAACATCTCAGACAATGCACACCTCGAATACAAGGTACGTACCTTGTATTCGAATACAAGGTACGTACCCTGTATTCAAGGGTAGGCGATTTCTCAGAACCCTTTTTTTGGAGGTAACTTGAATACAAGGTACGTACCTTGTTTTCGGGTTAAGTTTCGGGTTAAGACGGTAGCGAGAGGTGTACAGTTGTGAGTTTTTGCATAGTCGGATTTTGCCTGGTGTCTGTATTGCTGTTTTGTCTCAAGGGGGTTGGTCCCCTGCAGGGCTCCTCCCTGTAAGCAAAGGTCACTATTTCCGGGTAGACTGTGAGGACCCCGGCCTCAACAATTATCGGTAATGAAATTCCAGCTGTTTATTAAAAAAAAAAAAAAAAAAGTAGTGTGAGGTGAAAAATTGAAAAAAAAAAAAATCCCTTCATCAAAATAATTGAGAACTCAGTGAAGACACAGATCAGACTCGTCATTCTGAGTGACTGGAGAAGGAAGGTCTCCAGTTCCAGACAGTGATCCGGGGGTTTAACCTGGTTCCTGGACCTGGGCCCTGGGCGAGAAGATGTCAAAAGTGGTGGATAACAAGGTGGTGTTGGACGAGTGCTTAGTAGATGCAAGCTAAATACCTGGGCACTCGGTTATTTTCTCCGCAGTAGGGGGCCAGTAGTTGGTGGTACCAGGGGCTGGAGGAATGCTGGAGGAATGATTTTGTTTCGGAGGAACAGGCAAAGGTTCCAATCTCCTGCTGTGGGGAGATACATCGTTCAGGGCCCGCAGTGGCAATGGCGAGTAGGTAGGGCCGAGTCGGTAAGTGGCACCTACCGAGAGGTGTACATTTTTTTTTTTTTTTTTTTTTTTGAGAGGTGTAGCGAGAGGTGTACAGTTGTGAGTTTTTGCATCGTCGGATTTTGCCTGGTGTCTGTATTGCTGTTTTGTCTCAAGGGGGTTGGTCCCCTGCAGAGCTACTCCCTGTAAGCGTAACTGGGTAACGCTCCCAGAAGGTCACTATTTCCGGGTAGACTGTGAGGACCCCGGCCTCAACAATTATCGGTAATGAAATTCCAGCTGTTTATTTAAAAAAAAAAAAAAAGTAGTTGAAAAAAAAAAAATCCCTTCATCAAAATAATTGAGAAATTATCGTACCGTGTATACCGTGTACTGCTGTCCGAGTGTCAGGGGTATAGTATTAATACCTGTGTGACCTCAGAGGTGTGCAGTACGTCAAGAGTTCTCGGAGCGTTCTAAGCGAAGTCGCAGACTTACCGTATCACTGACAGAAAATCGTATCTTCGATCTCCTCCTCCAACAGCGATCGCGGCAGGTCGACTAGGAGCATCATTCACAATGGCAACGGAGGCGTTTGCTGCCGCTGACGAGTCCTTCGGTACCATGGATACTCCACCATTGACTCTGAAAACGATTAACCCCAAGGTGAGTACATCGACTCCTCTACAACTCGGCCTCTCCTGTGCAGCTTGGCCAAACCCACAGGACCTGTACGGTAACTTGTCACCCTTCCCTCGCTGCACGTCTCTTGCTGTGTGGCTCTTTACTTTTCTCCTTTCTCTCCTTTTGATTGTCTTCCATTATCCTCTCTCTCTCTCTCTCTCTCTCTCTCTCTCTCTCTCTCTCTCTCTCTCTCTCTCTCTCTCTCTCTCTCTCTCTGTGCTCTTCTTCCGTGCTTTGCTCCTAGTCTGTGGCCATTTCTTTTTCCTGAGTGTGCAGTTGAAGCCTCCCTCAATGCTGAATACCCGTCCCCTCTGCACCGATCCGGCTATGGTACGCGGTCTGCTCCGGTGGCTCCTTCGCCTTGGCGTGGCCTTTCGCCGAGGGGCAAGCTACTCCCGAATACAAGTGCTATTAACTTAGTGCGATCTGCCTTGATGGCGTGATGATGGGTATGCCTCCCGTGCGTTGGTGTTGGGCGATGATGGAGATGTCTGTCTGCCTTGGTACAGTACTAATTATCCTTGATCAGCTGGGAAATCGACGCCGCATTGTGACGAGATGATGATCAACGGAAGGACCATTTCCAAGGCGCGATCCGACCCGATCCCGATCCGATCCTGATCCGATCCGACGACAGCATATGAGAGAATCTCAAGTTTGCCGCTCTGAAAAGGACCCGCATGATAAATTAATTCCTTGCCGCCAACCTAGAAAGGGTGGAAGCGAAGATACCGCGTCCATTTACAAGCCTTCAGCCGATCATTAGAACTGTTTTTGGGACAATATTCAGTCTAGATACAGCTATAATGACCGGGCGTTCCATTGGGGTGACGGCCGTAGTCTTCAGCTCGTTTTATGTCATAGTTCGAAGTCATACGCCACACGTGCACGACTCGGTCGACTACACCGGATGGAAGGATGACCAACACGTTGACGAAAAGATCAGCTACAAGCCGATGAGTGGATGAATGGATGTGATGGGTAGTCGAATGGACGAGAAAAGCAAATGACTACAGATGCTTCTTCTTCCCGCTGACCGATCTTCGAACTGTTTCAGCCAATCTTAGTCTGCTGTTCGTTGCTGCATTATCATGGTATGGAAAGTGATCGATAACTCGTTATGGGCGACATCACAGTGTTTTCTTTCTTGATTTGATTTTCTGGTAGGGCTTAAAGAGCGCTGGCGGTTTGATAGAAGGAAAAGGAGGAAGGAGAGACGGAGCAGAAATGGAATGGAATGGGAGGCTGTGTGCTGCGGGATTACATCGAGCGTATTTTTTTGGATCTTCAGAAGAAAACAGAAAAGAGGTCCATTGTTTTTCTTCTTCTCTTATAACGTCTGGCCTTTTCTTACGTTTTGGTTCTTGTTTGCATGACTGATCGTTGCGGTTTCCTCCCCGATCGCGTCTGCTTCTTCTTCTTCTTCGTCCTCCGCTTCTTCTTTTTTCTTCTTCTTCTTCTTCTTCTTCTTCTTCTTCTTCTTGCGCTGCGTTTTCGTTTCTCTTCCGTCGTGTTGACAGGTGTTGGCCTGCGAGTACGCCGTGCGAGGGCCCATTGTGGCGCGCGCTCAGGTAAAAGCAAATATCTATAGTATTACTGTGGTATAAATACTAGTTTTACTCAGTTTTCCTGATCCCAGTTATGGAAACGCGCCTGATCCCTACGGGCGGTCCCGAACACAGCCAGCGTGGCCGGTGCGTGGGGTGGGGTGGGGGGGTGCCGCGTGGTGTGAACGGGAGAGGGTTAGAGGGAGGGGGCACCGATGCAAAGTGATTGAATGAGAAAAGCTTTCTGGACAAAGGTGGAGTGAAGGTGGATAGAGCTGTCCACAAAGAAAAAAGAAAAAAGGGAAAAACAGGTAGAACTGTCATATATATAGGTCGTCATATACATTGTTATTAAAAAAAGTTTTGAACGCCTCTGGCTATGGTGGTGTTTCTACTACTATGCTTCCCGCGTTTATGAAGCTGGGGGAAAACCAGTAAACACGCTGGAAGATCGGCGTTTATATTTGGAAAAATTAAAATTGAAAAGGAAAGGAAAACCAGCGGAGACTGAGCCTGGTTGCTTATTTTTCCCGATACTCGTCACCCTGGCATTCTGCATCAGTATGATCCAGGCGGTCAGGTGCATGCGTGCCTTTAAAATCCACTCCGCCCTACGGGTGCAGCGTGTGCATGCAACACTTGTTCGGCGGGCAGGCGACCTCAACATCTTTCCAGACCCCTCCTTGACAGGAATTTATCCTCTGAACTTAGGATCAATTCCTACCATCATGATGGCGTTTTTCTTCTACTCGTTCGTTTGCTTGCGCTAAATTTATCCATTAAGGGCCTCGCTCCACTACGCACCAAATGTGCGAAATGAGAATGGATCTTCCGTCCTTCGGGACATCCGTTAAAACTGGAACGATACAGAGAAGATTAGCATGGCCGCTGCGCAAGGATGACACGCATAAATCGAGAAATGGGCCGAATTAAAAAGAAAAGAAAAGAATGGATCTTCCCCTAGAGCACGGAAAGATGCACGGCCATAGTTTTTGACTTTTGTGCATGTGGTGAGGAGTGGAGCGACACCCTAAGATTCCATTGATCGTAGGTTTAGATCGGACGGACTGGGTGAGCTTATAGGCTCTCTCCCAACCCGGTCGCCTTCTCGGTGGAGGAGGAGGAATAGGTTGGAGAGGGAGGTGGTGGTTGAGGCCGAGCCGCAAAAAGAGGGACCCGGTGGAAGTCGACAGCGTCGAGGACCCAGGGCACACAACGAGGCGGTTCAGTCTCAGGGCATACTGGGGCGTACCCAAGGGAGGGCGAGGAGCTGGCGGCGATTATGTATTTACGTATTTGCCAGATTGAGGATGTAAAGTTGGCACTTGGCACCCGAATGGATGCTCCTGAAGGGGGGATCGTCCCATCCCACTGACTTCGTGCTTTCCAGACCGACCGTCTTCTGTAGCGGAATGCTTTTTATTCTTTTTATTTTTTTTATTAAAATTTAAAAGTCTAATTCTTTAAGCCCAACGAATTCAATTACCTGTCAAATCTGGACAGGACGGCCTTTCAGGCCTTTTTTATTGTCATTATAGTATTACGGTGAACCCCGTAGCAGCCACATCCATGCTCAAGCCTCCAACGAGGGGACATGCGGGAGCTGCACCCACCAGCAGGTGCGATACCTGCTACAGCAGGTGGGCGATACCGGCCAGGGGTCAGCCGGTAGCATCAGGACCGAACTTCCTCGACGGGCCAGTCACTGTGCCTCCCCTCCGGTTCCCTCCTCCTATGAACATCAGCAGTCTCCGCGCAATGCCACTCGGGGGGACCAACGGCATATCTCTATGTGGCGGGCGCCAAGCTTGCCAAAGAAGGTGCATGAGGCCAATGGGGATTGAACCCAAGACCTCCTGAATGCCACTTGCGTGCCTTACCAACTGAGCAAGGCCCCATAGTAACTGTTCTTGTGATAGAAGAAAAGGGTCTAGCTCAGCTGGTTAGGCACGCAAGTGGCATTGAGGAGGTTGTGGGTTCGATCCTCGCCTGCGGCGCACTTAGTGCCAACCGACTGTGATAGTCCACTTGATACCCCTGATCCGTTTTAGTAGGGTCTATGACCATCACGGGTGCGAGTGTGAGCGTGAGTGGGTTGTGTGGTCAGTGTGGGAGAGAGTGTTGGCCATAGCCACTGCGGCTGGTTGATGGGGAATGGGGGAAGTAGATGGGAGGCGCAGCGACTGGGAAAATGCTCGTTCTTTGCATTGGCCGCCCCCCCCACCACCGGCGGCTCCACCCTGCTCCCTGACCACCGCCGATTAGGGCGGGGAGCAACAACATGCATCCCCTTAATTGTGAGAAGTGGCTATGCTTGCAGGGGTCCCTGTATAGGCTTAGGAGTAGTGGTAGGGAGATATGAAAGGTGAAATTGAGAGAAGAATATAGCTTAGGAAAAAAAAGACAAACGAAAAAGGGTCAATACACATCTGTAAGCCCTTTTTCTCTGTGTTGGAGTGCAATAGTCTCTACGCATCACAGAGCTGCAGGTCTGCCACGACGTGGCCAAGTACTGATACATCAGGACCTCTATGACGATGAGCAACGCCATCATGATGGTAGGAATCGCATTGAGAGGAGTTCCTTTCCCGCCAAGGAAGGGGTGTGGGGAGATGTCGAAGTCGCCTGCCTGATTTTAGTGGCAGATCTTGTTGTGACAACAATTGCTGGAGGGTTTAGAGGAGGGGCTCTACTCTTTGAGCAGCTGAGGGTGGTTTGGCGCATATATACTGGCAAAAAATATATGTTACCTCATCCCCTACAGCAGCTGCGATGTGAATTGAATTTCCTTCTTGTCTATCGACATCAAACTGTTAAGGGGGAGTCAAAGAAGAGAGAAAAGAAATAAATAAATTAAACTGGAAGTACGCGGCCCCAGCCTTGCAGAAAATGAACTCGTCCCCACCACCACCGCAAACTTCACGGCCAGGCGCCGTTGATAAATTTCGTCAATGGCCTTTGTCGCGTTTCGGGCCTCTGAATGCGTTTGTTTGCCCTCTGCCTCTCAAATTTGGGATGCCCCTCGGGCAGGGGCTCAAATTTGGGAAATATCCCTGACGTTGAGTGGACCTGACATCGTTTCAGTATGCCTCTTCAGGTACCGGCTTAACTTTTCTGGATGCCCCGGCCGCTCGGAGCTGGGACGAAAATTTGTGATTTGCCGTTACCGCAACCAGGGCATGCCACGAAGTTGCTTCGCCCTGGGCGAGCGAGCGTGGCCGCAGAAAAGATTCCAGGCTTTGGGGGTATGCAAGCGTAACACGGCTGTTTGAGGGGCAGAACATGAATACACACATCTTTGACGGGGCGTAACCAAGATTTTGCGCGCAGAAAAGATTCCAGGCTTGAGGGGGGTATGCCAGTGTAACGCGGCTGTTCGAGGGGCTGTGGGGGCATAACCAACAGTTTCCCTTAAATTAATTAAACTAGTTCAGTTCGTTTATTAATAGCTGGTACAGCTGGAACGACGGGTCAGGCCCCAACATATGCACCCCACCGTGATGGTTTGTGCGCGTGGACAAGACCTTGTCGCTACTGATGGGGAATTGCTTTTCAGATACTTCTTTGGTTGGCGTCCTTACACTTCTTTTGTGCCGTGTGGTTGCCATGAATGAATGTGACAGGCTCTTCAGCAGCGGTTGTCTGCCGACCCAAGCTCGCTCCCATTTGATGAGGTAAGGTGGTGTCTCTTATGCTCTCTGTCCTTCGTGTTGCTCTCTCTACTAATGGATGGAGATGTGCACCAAACTAGCAGCTTTTTGCCTGCTTTCCTGTTTTACTGCATTTGGAGCAACTGGAAGGCATGGCGGAGGAGAAGGGAGTCGGTAAAGCCAGTGGAATGTGTGTGCTGTTCATCTGTATTACGGATGTGTGTCTGGTAAGGTCATTGTATTGTGTGTGCTCTTCATCTGTGTTACAGATGTAGACACCGCACTCATGGGGTCTCAGAGCTGATCCTGCTTGTGCTCTGTGTGTGTGTGTGTGTGTGTGTGTGTGTGTGTGTGTGTGTGTGTGTGTGTGTGTGTGTGTGTGCGCGTGCGTGTGCACGTGTGCACTTGTGTCACATCTTCATTGTCCGTTACTATTTTTGCAGATCGTTTACTGTAATATTGGAAATCCACAAGCACTGTATCAGCAGCCAATAACATTTTTCCGAGAGGTGAGTGCGGACAAGTCAATCCAACCCTATGCGGGTTCCTTCCGTATAGGATCTCTCAGCTGGTCCTGTGGGACCGACCTTTGTTTGGTCCGATACTTGTGATTATGATCATATAACAACGACGACGACGACCATGATGATGGTGATGATGGTCAGAACCAAGCTCCGTTTTGGTACGGTGCTTTTGTGAGATAGATAGTGTCATGTTGGCTATCCAACTTTTTCTGGCTATCTGTACAGCCGGATTGATTTTTCTTCTGCGGTTGCAGCCAATGAATGAATGGTCTTTGACGTTTTTTTGTTCCTTTTTCTCTTTTCTCTTCTCTGAAGTAAGGTTCACTTCTTCCCTTGCTGTTCGTCGGTGGGTTTACCACACCATATATGTGTCGCAGTTTTCTCTGTTCCTCTCCTCCACTATCTCTAGCCCTCGGTGCTTTTGCACAGTGAAACCAACCGCCTCCTACTCGGTTTGCTTTTCCTCTTCCTTTTCCTTCTGCACAGCTCCCGGGTTTCGTTATGAAGGGGACAGTGACGTGATCATGGCATGTTGGAAATGTTCTGCAGGTGGTTGCCCTGGCCGATCACCCGGCACTTCTTCAGCTTCCGGAGATAGAAAAGTTCTTCAGGTACTTCCTCTAACTGTTTGCTCATTTTTTTCTGTCCTGCATAAACGTGCTTGACTGTCTGAAGCCACAGCCCAGCGCTTTCTCAAATCTTGTTCGAGTAAACGTTGTTGATTCCGTGCTACTAAAAAGCTAAGTGAAAGGTGAGAGCTTTGACTGTTTCGGCTGCATCCCCTGCGATATGTACCCAGGATTCCTGGCCTACAGTACGGTAGGCTTTCCTGCTATGACTAACCATTGTGCTCCTTTTGCGCGCGCGCGCGCGTGCGTGTGTGTGTGTGTGCGTGTGTGTGTGTGTGTGTGTGTGTGTGTGTGTGTGTGTGTGTGTTGCAGCGCTGATGCAATTGGCCGTGTGAAGAGGATCCTTCAGAAAATCCCAGCCAACACCACTGGTGCATACAGTCACAGCCAGGTATGTAACCAAGTCTGTCGACGCTGTTCTTGTAGTGTTGACGTTAACCTTGGGGAAGGCATTTTGACAGTTCCCTTGAGCAATGTACTTAATTTATCTATTTTTTTACACACACACACACACACACACACACACACACACACACACACACACACACTCAAAAGGAGTTGCTTATCTGGGGGGCACCAGTCCGGTTGCTCATCACCGGCAAGCATGATACAAAGCCAAATGTACTGAACAACGCCCATTTCCAATCTTACACCATTTGTTGGAGATGCGGAGCCGTTGCAGTGGTGAACGGGTTTTTAATTAATGGAGCAATCGTTCTTTTCCTGATTTGGATGATTCAGGTTTCTTTCATGGATTACGTATATGATTCAGGTTTCTTTCATGGATTTCGTATGCTAGGTGTGTGTTCGGGCCTGTGGCTTTGAGGTCAGCTCGTGCACTATTTCAGAATAGGATTGCCAGTCTTACTGTACGTGTCCTAAGCGTCCGAGCCAGGCTGAACTGCCACTGAAGTGCTGACTGCTCGAGAAAACACGAGCAAGCACAAACGTTGCTGAATGTGTGCTTGGATGCGCTGACGTTTCAACGTGGGTCTTGAGTGAGAAAGAGCGGATGTATGTGTACTTTGGGAGGTTCTCCACTGGACGTCAAGTCTTATCCACATCGTCGTTTTGCCCATTGCACTGTTAGCGAAACTGGAAATTGTGAACTCTATGCAAAACCGTGTGTGTCAATCAGAGTTTTCAAAGAACTGATATCATATTCAATTTATCATTTCCATCTTTTATTCTTTGAGCATGCATAAATGTTCTAGTGCTTCCTTTAATCAACGGCCAGGTCGAGTTTGTCCGGTTTAGTTGAGCCGAGCAGTTGATTGGTCATGCCATGACTCTTATGGTAAAACCTGTCCTGTCTTTGTGCATCGTTGAACAGGGGCACATGGTTTGCCGTGAAGATATTGCTGCGGGCATTCAGAAGCGTGATGGGTACCCTTGCAATCCTGACGACATCTACATCACTAATGGCGCCAGCCCATCTGTAAGTTGTAGTCTCTCATAAGGTTATAATAGCGTCCATTCTCTCTCTTTCTCTGTCTGTCTGTCTGTCTGTCTGTCTGTCTGCCTCCCTCCCTCTCCCCCTCTCTCCCTCTCTCCCTCTCTCTCTCTCTCTCTCTCTCTTTCTGACCTCTGTCTCTCTCTCAGTTGTTTGCTCTCCCTCTCTTATGCAACCCTTTCTTGGAAACATATCCATCGAGTTCCTGAACATGTGAAAGAGCAAGGCTGGGTGCATGACCCTTCCGCCAGATGGGATGTACCTGCTACCTGGATGGACCCTAGCAATCCTGACGACGTCTACATCACTAATGGCGCCAGCCCATAAGTTGTAGTCTCTCACAAGGTTATAAT